GTGCAAAAAGGAAAAAACGTAAACGATAAAACTGGCCAGAAATATATTGTCAGCCTTTTTACTGATTTTAAGATTGATGATAACTGTCATTGCTTTATCCTTGAAGACATTGGAGGCAAAACGTTAGATGCCTATACCAGCAATATGTCAATAGAAAGAAAGCAGAAGCAACTACCAATTATTTTCAAACAAATCTTAGAAGGTAAACACTTGTAAACCATTGCCGCATAACTGCTAACTGATCCATGCACTAGGCATAGCCTACTTACATCGCATTGGGCTGGCTCATAACGATATTAAACCTCAAAGTATGCTGTAAACTATAATAATATGCTTGCTTTATTAATTTATGATTTAGATGTCATCGTAAGAGATTGGGGACTATGGTGGGGTATTCAAGTTATGATTATCGATTTCGATCATGCAAAACTTTTGGCCACCGATCCGCAAAGCAAAAAAACAGAACTGGCCAACGTAGGCACTATTATCTACCGACCTCCCGAGTCGTTTACGAATACTCCTGCTGACCCACGCCTATATGACTCGTGGTCTGCAGGTGCAACGTTTTATGAAGCAGTGTCGGGTAGAAAACCATTTGTTGGCTTTTTCAACAAAGGATTAATCACATTGGCAGAACTAGAGTCTTGTATGAAGACTCTTAGAGAAAACAACTTTAAACGCATGCTTTATCCTATGTTTGAAGAATCGTATACTGAAATTCTTTTAGAAAATCTTATTAATCAAGTAAATGAGCTAATGGTATTTGACTACAGAAAACGTCCTACTCCAGAACAGGTTCTTTTACGTATTAATAGTAAATAAATCAAAGGATACTACGTTTATCTAAAATATATAAGCAATGATTAACTACAAAAGACACTTATTGTAATGCTATTACTGTAATGTCTATACTACAATGTATTACTACAAATAAATAACAAATTGGCACTTGATTGTCCTTTTAAAACATAGTTTATACCAATAACTTTAATAGTTTATTATCGAGCTTTTGTAAGACTACTAGTAACTGGTATATGTATATATGTATAATAACGACTGTAAGCAATAAACAGTTCAAACAAAGCGGTATTGCATTATCACACACTGGCTAGCAGTACGTATATATTGTAGTTATTTACATTATTATTTGATAGTTTATAATAAAAATAACATGGGTGCAAATAACAAAGTTAAATTTATTTTTTCTTTTAGTATATTTAATCACGTGACCATATTTTTTTTATAAATTACCAACAACTGTTTTACAACAATCCGTACATTATCGGTGTGTTGGCCGAGCGGTCTAAGGCGCTGCACTCAAGTTGCAGTCTTCGTATGAAGGCGTGAGTTCGAATCTCACACACACCAATAGTATCGTTTATATCTTGTCATGTACAAGCAGCAATACTGCTAAAACAAGGCTGGAATAACTTATCGGTATTACTATCTATAAGATAACGGGACTTTTTGCTGCAAATGCGCATTTTTTTGCTTTTTAGTTTTATCTGCTGTAAATATAAATGCTTTTTTGCGCAACAGTAGCTGCTTGTAGCTGTCGGTCTTTGAATTTTTGCCTGACTAAATTACACACTACTCCACCCAGCACCAAATATTCACCATATGACTAGTCATATGAATTATCTATTCATATGATCAATCCGATGACTAGCCATATGAACTCACTCCTGACTAACCCATGATCTTATGACGATGTTGATTGATCGCCGACGTCATAGTATCATTATTACTATTATTATTACTATTATCACACGGTTATACTAATTATTTTAGTATATAAACCAACTCATTTTATTAACCAATAAACAATATCTTACATCCAATTGTTAACTGTCTTATCTAACACACACATTTTATTGATCAAGTCCTACGATAGTCAGAAAGTAGTGACTTTGACGACAGTAGCACTTGCGTACATTTTACACGCTTTCACATACTGCTTTTACTCAATAGGAATGTACTAACTAATATATATATATAATTACTATTACATTGCTGAGGTATTTGTCAGTATGAATAAAACTGTAATAATACAACTATTAATTGTAAACTGATTGCATTGCCATTAACACGTAACATGAACAAGCACTAACGTAACTTTTTTTATTACACTGTAATATATTAACAAACCTATTAAACCAATACCGATGCAACAGCAAAGTATATTTAAAAAATTGGATATAATAGTTCATGTTTATTTATTTAACAAATATTAATTCATTTATATTGTGATAATAATTTAGACTAAGAATAAAATAATAATATAGCAAATGCCAATGCTTTGTTAAAAAGTAAATAATCATATGTATGTTTATACTAAATGCATGTTACCTGTATGCTGCGAATATAAAGATAATGTATACTTTTAAAACCTATATTAAATTGTAACGCATAAAAAAATGCTATACTGTCTCTTATTATTATCATCATTATTACTATTACTATTATTGTTATTGTTGCTATAATAATAATAATACGGTGTTGATAATGATATAATCAATATTGAGTGTTAAAATTGCTGTTTATAATAATTGTTGTCACAATTCGGATAATACCTCATGTGATAACTTAGAGGGTCATACAATAGTCACCTGATTGTCATGCGTTAAATAGATATGGCTAATCATTACAAAAACCTGTTATTTAGTAAATGGCAAAATAATTATATTGCAACATATTCAATAATATTAATGTTATGTTTGTAATAATACTTGATAATTTCCTTATCAATTATGGTGTATTAATGTCGAAATCCAGTCAAATACCTTCATCAATAACAATGACCATCCCATGGCGACCATACACAACTAGCTTGTCAATAAACAGATGTGCCACCAAGGCAACGCTATCAATAAACACATGACCTGTCACATGCTAGCTAGAACTTTTTTTCAGCTATTTTTGTTTACTTTCTATGACTCAAATGACAACACAAGCGCAATAAAATAAATTTGGCCGCTATATAAACAGGTCACGAAAGTGCCATTAGCATAATGGATTGTCATTCTCACACTCCGATTTAAACGTACACGTATTAATTGCATCCCTGTCCTTCTACCGCTAATAGTTTATTAATGCTATTAATTCCACCCCTTAATAATTTACATTTATTATCCATTATGCACACCTAATAGTAGCAGACTTGCATTTGACTAGCACACCGAGACAGGCCTTGTTTATAAATATGTCCTACACGCAAGCTAATCTTTTAAATATGCTCGTAATATTGTTATACAAGCAACAGTTATTTTATTTAGTTTTGAAAAACCTTTATACACCAACTGACAAGTACGAAAAACTACGCAACATGTCCACAACAACATTTGGATTTACCAAGGCAACCAGTTCCATATTGGCACCACCGTCACCACAAAGTTCAGCAAATACGTATTAGTATTTTACCACAATATGATGTACCATTTCATGACTACTTACACAAAAGTTAACGCAACTTTCATGCCCCAAACTTAAGGCTATGATGCTAAGCACAAATTAGCCGAACAGAAAGTATTGACTGTTTTTTAATTGCCACTGTTAGTAATTTGGTTTTTATTATGAAGAATTTTAAAAAATGAAATGGAAATGAAATGTGATGACATTATTCGCGCATTCAAAATATTAATTAGTTTTTACACAGACAAATTTATAGATAAAGTCTGTCCTGGTGTGCTCGCCAATGTGTAAGGCTGCTACTATTAGATATGCTAGGTGGGCTACAAAGCGCTAATAGTATAATTTTACAATTAATAAAACTACTACATTGCAGTACGTTATTTAGTCTCTTTGATTGTGTTAAAACACTACTATATATAGTGTCCTTTATTGATTAACTAAGCATAGCTTTTTTTGAAACATTAACAATTGCAATTAGATATATTCAATACAAATACAATTGTGCTGTTTATTTTGGCAGTAGTGCTAATTATTTATTAGTTAATTGCCTTTTCTACTTATGTTAATGGTATTATACTAATATATATATATATATATATTCATATCATTATTGCTGTAAATTTAGCCTAATACATATTATTGCATTATATACTGAACATATTATATCGATAAAAACTATTTATTATATATTTCAGTTTATTTCACTCATTGAACCATACATATTGTAACTTCAACTTAGTTATCCATAAACATTTTATTTGCTGCTAATTCTACTATGTTAATGCTACTTTACACATTAGTGATTAACTAGTAAAATTATTCTAATAAAATGAACAATAATTTATAAACAGATGTTATATTGTTTATTTTAAAAAAGAGATAATATATTTTATAATTACTTGAATATAATGGCAAAGTGTAAATTTATTGCCAGTAGAATTATAGGTAGCTCTAGTTATCGTGTTGTGCAGTTATTAGTATTTATAGCGCAATGGTAGCTAACTAACCATTATTCTATAACACGATTTCGTAATATGTTGAATGTGTAAAAACTAATGTATACTATTAAATACAATAATAAATGCAGTATAAATGTATAATGTAGCTTAACTAGACGTGAAAATTTATTAATACACAAAACAATCATATAATTAGCAATAAATAATTTATACTACATATAGAATAACTAGCATTTATTGTAAAATTTAAGCAAGTACTTAGGTACCACCAATAAACGTGAAACTATTAGATAAATGGCATAAATTTTATTGATATTAATCATATACATAATTACTATTAATATAAATATTAAAGTATAACTATCGTTCCGTAACTAAAAAAAGGAGTATATCAGAATAATATTTTTAATAATGGAAAAGCAGTATAGAGTATAAAACGCTAGTATTTATTATAAAGACAGTAATAAACGTAGCACAAATACTGCGTAAATTTGAACAGCTGTCAATATACTACAAAACAACCTCTTGCAGCTGCGAAATCTATATTGCATATCGAATAAAACTGCAGCAAAAAAGCAAATTTGTACCAAAAATGGCTTGCTACTCCGTTTAAAATGGAGCAAAACAGTATGCTCCCTGCCAGGCTCGAACTGGCGACCTTCAGATTATGAGACTGACGCTCTACCAACTGAGCCAAGGAAGCTTCCATAAAAATTAATTAACTAGTTATTATATATTCCTAAATTTAAATTTTAAAAATATTTTTACAATTTTTAGTTGTTATTACGAACATTTATTGCTTGGCTACCATCTAAGTTGTAACTAAATAGAGCTAAGCAATTTAGCAATAACTATTTATAAACAAGCAACATAATACATTTTAATAAAAGAGTATGTTTATGTACATACCTACATTATTCGCTTTATCAGTACGTATGATTCAAAGAGCAAAATAAACAGAGGTTAAACAGAGGACTACAATAAGTGTGTTTACCATAGTATATAGCTATTTAGAAAAGTACAAATATACAGTAAGGAAAGCATGAATAGCAATGTTGAAGCTAGAGTGGATCTAGTCTAATGAGTCTAACGAGTGACATTAGCTTAACTTTGTCCATATTGGTGCTAAAATCAAATGAATAGCATATTTAGGTTGTATGTAGCCAAAATATAATATAATAACATGTAAAATAGTGAATATGCAAGTGAAAGTGCGTGATTAGCAGTGTTAAAGTTGGAGCATATATGCATGATCAATGAACGGAATTAGTCGAGATTTATAAATAATAAAGCTAGAACAAAAGTAAAAACAGTTTTGGGTAGAGGAAGACTAGGCGAGTGTAGAATAATATGTAAAATTATATAAATATATTGTGAAAAAGCTTGTAAAACACCTTTGAAATGATAGTGTATATAATGTAATGAATGGAGTAAAGTGTATTGGAATATATAAACAGTAGAGTGTATCTAATATATTATAGAATGGCATATAGTAATGTGGAATAGGATGGAAATAATATAGGTGAATATATGCATATTGGATAATGAATCTATAATGATGAGTATTTTAAGTTTTGATGTTACTCATCACCCAGCATTATGTTCAATAGAACAAATATTTAATTCAATTACGCGAATGTTATTAAATAAAGTCATTTGGCACCCAAAGTACACTAAATGATTAAATGATTTAATCATTAGTATTTTTCACCATTCACTTTCATGTTAATAAAAGTATATGTAGTCTAACTGTGTAAGTGTTATTATTGTAATCGAATATAATATAAAAAATGTTTTATTTATATAACCAGTTAATACAAATATTAGTGATAGATTATTGCATTCATGAATATTTACTTATAAATTGACGTATTCGCGACCATAAGTTTTTGTATTCATTTGATGAATGTGGAAACATCGATTTCTTGTTTATGCTAGGCGAAGGAAAACTATTATCAAAGATGATTGACAACAAGCACCGGCTATATCCAAAAGGGTCAGTATTGGCTGATCGTTGCTCTTCACATGCATTCCATCACTATTACTGCGCACAATGCCTGAATGACTGTTTTCAACGGAACATACATGCGTTGCACATGCATGATGATGTAGTCGATTGGTGAGCGTTAGCGGGAGTTGCCAGAGTATTCGGTAACGATCGCCTTGTTCTTTCGTCTCGAGTACATCTGAATTGCGACAATGCTGATTCGGTTCCTCGACCAAATACCAGCCACGCGATACACTACCGGCAATACGCAGTGCACCGGCCACCCGACAAAGATAAGCATTCCTATTGCGAGCTAATTGTCTATTCATATCTGATACAAGTTTATCGGTATCCATTCTTACTTGTCCAGCTTGCTGATCGATAAAAAGCGTCGAGGAGAGTGTACGACGGGCCGGCGCTCTGCAATGATGCCAGTCAAGCGAGTATTGGCGATCAGTTAGCCAAAGATTGGTAAGCGGTGTTTCTCCCGTCAGATCATAGCGTGAATACTGGCAAGTTGTGCTAAATTCGGGTCGCCAATCAACGATAACACTATGACAAGTGTCCATATACGTAACCGCATTGCTAAAAGCCGATAATGGTTCCGGTTCCGGTATACAGCCACTGGCAACAAGTACTGTTCGCTCTTGACGTGTCGACGTATCTTCCGCACTTCTATTTGGCAGAAACACCTCCCATAACTGCCAATGAAATCGATCACTTCGATGCATGCCGGTAAATATACGCCAGCTTAGCTCATCAGTCGATTGCACATGGCAAGTAACACATCCACCTTTAATATTAATAGGAATAACCGATTCAGCTTCATTGGTGTCCTTTTCTGTCTCTGTTTCTGTGTATTGTGATAAATCAATTAAATAAATTGGTACCGAGTCATCTGGACTACAGCTGTCGAATTTTACTAATACCAATAGCCAGTGATCGATCAGTGTTTGTGGTCGACAGCAACGATTACGTAGTGATGGTATTGCGAGTGGGTGTTCATGGCCACGATGCCACACCCATGTATAAGCATAGTCATATTGATACAAATTGTAGACAACAGTATAGTTACGACTCATTAAAGCGTAGGGCGACTTGGCTGAATTGACAGCCGCATAATCCTGTAGCGAATAAACAGATGGCTCAACCGGTATGGACAAGGATTGGGATGTCCCTTTATGATGGTCATAATGACCACGTGTGTGCTCGACAGATACCAATCGAATAGGTGATACAGAGCTATTAATGGTAACTGTGGTGGTTACTAACGGTATTGGCCGATAAATAACCAGTGTACGCCAGGGACTAGTAGCTACTACTGAAACAACTTGTTCTTTATCAGTGGAAGATGCGAGGGATGGTGACGGTAATGGTATATGATGTACTTGATAATGACCACGTCGCCATCTTTCTTGTAGCATAACACGGCGCTTTAAGTGTAAATACCAATAAAATGGCGATAATAATTGCACTGTTTCTAAAGAATACGTAGAAGAATAAGTAGATAAGTGTTCATACTGTTGTTGTTGATGATGATGGTGTTGAGATAAGTCGTCACTCATTGATAATCTAATATCAAGCAGTGACTGCCGATTGTATTTTACATCTTTAGTTCGTTCTTTCATCCAACGATCAAGTTCCTCTTCTTCTGGACGCATTGGATACGATAAACGATAGCGTCGTTGCCAATACGCCGAATCATGAGCTACTGGAAAGAATAGTGACCGACATACCAGCAATAGCTGGGTAGCTGTATAGTCGTCTAGCAAATGCAGTAATTCATAGTACAATTCCGTCGGCAATACGGCCAACGGACTGCACGGCCGTGAATTCGTCGTCATAAGTAGTTTAACTATTTAACAACACAATCTACGGCCTAAAAAATAAAATAAAAAGTAAGGCACAAGTAATGGGTAGGCAGGCTGTTTAGAATAAATAAACCATCAGAAATAGGTGAAGAGTTGAGGCGTGTGTACATGCTTGTGTTTGGTCTATATTTATTAAACAACAATGCAACTCTTTATCCATATTTATCATGGCAACCTTGGGCGGAGTACCAATTATTTTACATTGGCCATTACTATAAGGGGTGCCTTCAAAGTTTCCGGTCAATTTATTATTGGCAGGTGTCCTTTAACCTAAAGTGACGCCTTTCTTGAATGGTTAAAATGGGCGAGACACGTTCCATTAGCGATGGCCAGAGAATAGAGCACGACGGAGGGAAAGTAAAAATGGACAATGGTGAGGTTGAGAGCGTAGAAGAGAAAGCAGGCGTTGAAGTTTGAGCTGGCCAGTGTGACTGCATCTTTGTTACACAATATCCATGCACTGCTATTAATCGCTTGACCAGCTATGTGTAGCATGGGTTAACGAGTTGCTTATTGTAGCTTTATAAGAGTTTTACTTACCTGGCACTGAAAATCATAAAGTGCTGGTGGCAATTCAACTACAAAGTCGCCTATAATGGTAATGGCGTAAAAAGCTTGTGGCCAATGAAGTGTTGATTCGCCGTCTTCGTTGGCATAGAGTAATTTTAAGCTATCCTCTAATTTAATAGACCTTATACCGCTTTGACGTTTGATCGAAATACTTTCTTCTTCCTGCATATCCATTTGAATAGTGCCTGGCAATAAGTATTGTATAAACCATTGGACAGTTTCAGGCCAATCGGGCTGTTCTACACGTAGAATGAGCACGTCAAGCCAGCGTATAAGCCATTCAGCTGTGAATTGCATAGTTGATCTGGCTCGTTTTTGTTCCTCATAAAGCGCAGGCAGTAATACGTTATGACTTGTATCGATAAATTGCTTATGTGATATTTTTTGATCAAGTGCTTTTTGCATAACTAATACCAAATATCGTGTAGCCGATAATCGATTCAAACTAACTAGTGCGCATATTATTTGAATATAATTCGATTCAACTAGTTGTCATCAGCTGCTAATCGCACCGATGCTGGTAGCTCTTCCAAGTGATACAACGAGGCTTTAACGGCAGGGTATATTTCCTCGTTCGATAAATCGATGAGTTGTTGACGTAATCGTAATCTTGTTTGGTACCACGTTTCTTCGGCAGCCTCCGTTTCCTCTGTTGCTTGTTCTTTATCCGTAGACAATAAATATTTAATTGATTCTGTCCTATTAAGATGACGAGCTAGTGTTTCGAGGTAAGTTCGCCGATCATCATTTAATCCATATCTTGCAGCAAACAACACTTCTTCTATTCCGCCAAGTACCGTGTGAATTTGAGTGGCTGATATAGTTGCTGCCTGATCTGTGCCTTCTCCACCTGAGCCTCGTTGTCTATTTAATTTTAGCCGTCTTGTATCCTCAATAGATGGAGGCTGAACTAAATCAAGGCCGATCAAGGTCAGTAGACGACCAACACCCATTTCACCTAGTAAATGGCCACGTATGACTAAATCTTTCTCTGTTGCAAATCGAAGTAAGGCCACTTGTAGCACCTTTAGCAATGAGGCCGAATAAATTGCATGCCGACCGATTAGACGAATAGTGGCTAGACGTATTGGCTGGTAGGGCCATTCTATTAAGCGTGACATAACTGGCCACCAATTGACTGAAGGGTATTGCCATGTTACATAGGACAGTGTTTGTACAAGTAATTTAATATTGAATTCGTTTTCAGATCCACCTATTATTAGATGTATTAATATATAAATAGTAATGGTTATGCTGTGTAATAAACTTACCTTG